GTAGAGCTAGAACACCTGAGGCTTTTCTATGTGGGAGGTTCTGGTCAGAGCTCAGAAGAACAGAAGTCTGATAGAAATCTGCTTGTAAGACAGGGTCCCAGAGATTTACACTGGAAAGGACTGCAGTGGCTATTGGACTCCAGAAAATGTGTATTATAGGTTGGCATACAATTTATCTGCATTTTTCTAATGTCCAGAGACTTTGTCTGGACTAACATTAAAGGGAGAAGACTAATTAAACTGTGTTGTAGATAGGGGTTGTACACAGAGAACAATTAGAATCAGGACATGGAGTTGATAATATTATTTTTATAATGGTCACCCAGAGTTAACACAAGAACCTACAGGAAACCTATCCACAACACCAAAGACATAGAATATTTAGTTAAGGGCCTAAATCTCACAGCAAAGTCCCACATGAGTCCAGATGAAAACCCAGAACTCATGACAATGCCTCCCACAAGTCCAACTGGAGGTCCAGAGCCCACAAGAAGGACTCATGTCAGTCTCTTTATGGATCCATGCCAGAAAGGCCCAAAGATCTGTGGCGGAAGCCAGAAAATCTATGCCAGTGGGGTGAAGGAGCTGTGCTGGTAGGTTGAGGGTTCTATGCTGGAGCCGAGAAGTGACACTCAAAACAAAGACCAGGGCTGTCCTAAAAAGCACCACAGCCATCCTCAGCAACATGGAGGCCCCAGACTCCCCTGATGTTAAGCACATTCGAGTATATGCAAGGAAGCCAGCGTGACAAGTTCATCTTGGAGACCAAGTGGCACACGTCGTCCCCTCCAGAGCCAGGAATCAATGCTCAATGTGAGGACCAGAGCTTCTCCAGGAGAACCTAACAGCTCAAACAGCAACTCGTAGGAGAACCCACAATCCCTCAACGCCTCAACACAATAGCTTCTCCTTCTCTACTTCTCTATTTATGCTGGCAACTTTCCTCAGGTGGGATATCTATGCTCAGCACCATGCTGATGTAATCCAGCTGGCATTAAGTTGATCACCAGTTTTTAATCGATAACTGACAGAAAAATTTTCAGGCAGTTGAAGGCTGAAGTGGCGTGGCTACTATTGAGGCCTCTAAGCCAGACTCACGTTGGGAATCAAGAGCAAAGCATTCAGTAGGATGATTTAAAATGTTGTGAGTTTGTGAAGAAGGGAAACTCCAGTAAAGCTGTGGACCACAAAACAAAAAAGCAGAGGAGATTGTGATTGCTGAGAAGGAAAGGGTAAATAGAATAGATGGCTTGAGGGCATCAAAAGAAGCAGCAGGACTCCACCTTTTGCAGAGCACCATATTCCATAATGGCCACAGACTAGAAATTTTGTTCCTCAGAATTAGACTCAGAGTGGTCAGTGATCCAGCTACTTAATCCCTACAGCCGAGACAGGGAAATCTGGTTACTACTCCAACTGGCAGCAGACCTTGGCATCTTCTACATAGCACTGATTTAGGCTCATGCAGAATGTAAGAGTTGTTGGGTTAGGAAGGCTTCCACCCAGATTTCAGAAAGTCTGGAAAGCAAGGCAGTGTGCCTCTGAGAGAGCAGTGTGTGAATCTGTGAGTGTGAAGCCAAACTTGCAGTGGAGACCCCAGAAGTCTGGAGGAGCCAGAAACATGGATCATCTAAGGAAAACTGCAAGGAGAAAGCAAAGCAGGCCCAAGAGACAAGCCATTAGAGCTACAACCACTGAACATGTCATAGGGCTGGGGCCTCCCAAAAGCTTTGGAGTTCACAACTTTTCACAGATTGCTCTGGATGCTGCACATGGAGCTATAGAACTTAATGTTTGACCTGCTGGATTTTGGACTTGCTTTGATCCCCTTCCTTTGTATCCCTGTTTGTACCTTTTGGAATGCGAATGTTTGTCTTGTACCATTGAATATTTCAAGTGTTTACCTTTCTTTTCATCTGCACAGGGGCTCACAGCTGAGAATTTGCCTTACGTCTCAGAGAAGACTTGGGACTTGGGCTTTTCATCAATGCAGAAACTGCGAGGACTTTGGCATCTCTTGGAGATGGACTAAATAATTTGCCTTTTGCATAAAGGGATGAGTGTGAGTCTTTGGGAGGTTAGGGACAGAATGCTATGTTTTAGATCTAGATGTTCCCCCAAAGCCTTGTGTAGCTGAATCTAGAGTTTGTGACTGATTTGTACTGCAATGCTGGGATTAAGGGTGCTGGGACTGAGTGAGTGATGGCTGAATCAGCCTACTGATTGCATTGGTACTGCCCTAATCCCAGCAGTATGGATAGGAGAAAAGGAGAAGAAAGAGACTGTTCACCCTTTTATTCTGGTTAATTTTGCTATTCTTGTCACCCCAGCTGCCAAGAACTGTTGCCCCTCTGCCATGTGCCACTCTGCCTTGGAGCCAGTTGACTATGGACCAAAACCTCCACAAACTCTGAGCTAAATGAACCTTCCCTCCTTTAACTTTGGGTGTCAGGCATTTTGTTCCAGCAACAAACAAAAAGTAACTAAGACAGGATCACATCAAATTAAAAACTTATGCATAGCAAAAGAAACAACCAACAGAGTAAAGAGACAACCTACAGAATGGGAAACATTTTTTGCCAGCTATTTCTCAGACAAAAACCAAACATGTAGAATATATAAAGAGCTTAAAAAAACTCCACTAGATTCCCTAAGTAAAAGACTCAACCAAAAACTGGGGGACTTAAATGAGAAGATATTTTTCAGAAGTACCAATGAAAATTACATAAAAAGATTCAGCTGTACTGGGCATTAGAGAGTAAATTAAAACAACACTAAGATTCTGTCTTACTTCAAAAAGAATGGCTGTCATAAAAAATGGATATTAAAAAATGCTGGTGAGGCTATGCAGAAAAAGGACCCCCTTCCCATTTGAGTCTAAAGCAGTTGTGTCCAATTCACAGTTCGTGGGCCATCACAGCCCTTGATAAATTATAATGAGAACTCACAGATAATAACCTTCTTAACATTATTACATGATTAGTTTTCTTTTTCCCCCATCCCTTGTAGTACTGGTTATGAAACCTGAGAGTGCTCTACCACTCAGCTACATCCTCAACCCTTATTATTTTTTAATTTTGAGATAGGATCTTGCTAAATTTTCCATTCTGTCTTTGAACTTTCAATACTTCTGCCTCAGTTTCCCAAGTAGCTGGGATTATAGAATGCGCCACTGCACCTATTACATGACCTTTGTTTTGATTTGTTCTTTTAAAGCAGGGTGTAATTATGGGGTACAGGCTAGCCTTAAACTTCTTGTATGGCTCAAGCTAGCCTTGAACTTCTGATCCTCCTGCTTCAGTCTACCAATTCCTGGGTGTTAGGTCTGAGAAGAGGGGGAAGGAAGGGAAAGAGGTCCGTGGAAGGAGTGGAGTGGACGGCCATGAAAGGAGTGGGCAGCGGTGGCTTCAAAGATAAGAAATATAAAATATAAATAACCTTTATTTCAGGAATGTGGGGAGAGACCCCCCCTGGCCCCGGGGCGCAGCATCTCCATCCCGGGGCCAGTGGTCTCTCTCTGGAACACACTCTCCCTTCTTCTTCTTCTTCTTCTTGAACACGTGGAGTGAGGCCCATAAGTAGCCTCTGTCTGGGAGGAACCCCAAGGGGCATTAGGGATGCACAGGTATTTCATTGGCACACGTTTGGTGCCAGGGACGGGTTCTTAGGGATGGGGGTATAGGGTTACAGGTAAATCTATAGGGGTGGGGGAGGCAGGAGCCCCCTAACTTGGCTGAGGCTTTTCCTGTGTCCGGTCTGGGCCAGCAACTCTTTCATATCCCGTCTTATGATTATTAGGAAAAGGGGTGAAGATTTCTCTCTGTGACTACTTCCTGCTGGCTGAGGGCGCTGTATTGGGGTCTAGGGGAGTCGACGGGATGAAGGCTGATGCCCAGGTAGACGCTGATGTTAGGTGTTTTAGCCAGGACAACTTCACTGGTGAATGCACGTATGTTAGACTGGAAAAAACAAAGAGACAAGATGTTATGAGGAGACATGGCACTGTCATATTTATGGACCCAAATGAGGTAGAGAGAAAGGTGTCTTTGATTTAGACCGGTTATTCTATCAGGATGACGTTGAGGTGGCAAGGCAGAATTCTGAAAAATTAAACGTGGGATTAGGAGGAGTGAAGTTATGAGAGGTGTTTACTCCCCCATATGAAAGCATAAAAGTTAAAAGGTAGGTAGGTAAGGTTTGTCTCTGGTATATATGATGCTGGAGTCTGTAGGCAATCCTGTTAGAGAGTCCTGCTATAGAAATGATCATTAATAGAATGTAAGAAATTAAGAATCAAACTGGACAACAAAACATGACAACCTGTGAGTCATAAGGCAGAGATGAGTATCAAAAGGATGGTTAGATCTAGGGCCTGAGTGATGTGAAACCAGGATGGCAGTTTAAAAGGGAATAAAAGCATTTTAGGATTTAGGACTGGGAACTGTATAAAAATGGGCCCTGTTTGTAACTGGCATAGGTTGACCTTTAATACTCCATGAGACATTGAGGATTTATTAGCCTAAAAACTCAGTTAGGAACTCTATATATGTGGTCTCTTATGTCCACGAATATAGAGAATGTCTTACCTTGAGAGTTTTAATGTGATTTGGATTCTGAGACAGACATCCACCAAGGTGGTTGGCCCCTGTGACCTTTGAGGGTGACAAGCTAGGGTGGCCAGGCCACTCTCTGGTGGCCAGGATAACCCAACAGCTGTGGAATAAGGTCTTTTGGCAGTGACCTATGAGGGCTACCAGGTAGGATGGCCAGGCCACTCTCTGGTGGCCAGGATAGCCTAAACAGCCCTGGAGTAAGGTCTCGAAGAATGCCAGGATGGGGGATTTTGTCTGATGTCTTTTGATGAATTTGAGTGAGGCCCACAGCGGGGGGGCAAGTTGTTTTACCTTGTGTAGATTTGCGCCCCGGGGCCGGGAGGGGGGGTCTCTCCCCACATTCCCAAAATAAAGGTTACTTATATTTTATGTTTCTTATCTTTGCAGCCACCGCTGCCCACTCCTTTCATGGCCATCCACTCCACTCCTTCCACGGACCTCTTTCCCTTCCTTCCCTCTTCCCCCTCTTCTCAGACCTAACAGATGGTGCCCGTGACTCAACAGCAGGTGAGAAACTCCTGGTTTCTAGTCCCCTGCTGTTCAAGATTCTTCACTTCTACACTCACAAATCCATATCCTCGACTGCTGTTTCTCAACCAACACCCACCAGGTGAGTAACTCCCCAGAGACAGCCACTAAAACAGGCTCTTTGTTTCCCAGCGTGTGCTCCCTCCCCCCTCTCTCCCCGTCCCGCGTGCCCTTTGTTCCCGCTCTGGCGGCGCGGTGTCAGCGGCCAGCGGGGGACCACCGGCGGTCCGCAGTCACGAGGCAATCTCCCACGGGGCAGGTGGGCCCCTGGGGAGCCGGCGTGGTGACTCTGGACACGAGCTGGGCCCTTCCTGTGGATCGCCCCCGCCCGCGCCCAGCTCCTCTCCCTCCCCCCAACTGCGTTATAGCTCCCTTTGTTTCCCAGTGCGCGCCAACCCACCCCTGCCACCACCGTTCTGCCGAGATTTAAATGAGACCAGACAATAAGAGATTCACATAAAACTGCTCTAGATTTTAAACAGCTTTTTTTCTTTTCGCTCTCACATTGTGTTCCAATTCCGTGGGCCCCACAGTTTCAGCCTCTCACCCAGCCCGTTCCGTGTTGCGCCAGCTCATTCGAGCCGGTCATTCCCGCCACTGGCGGATGCCCACGTGACTGTCCGCGCCGCAGGTTCCCTCACGGACGCGCCGGCTCCTGTGGGCTACAACAGGTCGTGCCCCTGACTGCGCCAGCCCCGCGACCACCACCGCATCCCTGCACCGTGCCCCCCCCACCCGCCATCGCCGCCCGGGAGCCGCTGCTTTCACAGTGTGCTCGGGGCCCCGGCGTGGCCCATGAGCCTTCAGAGCAGAACCCGCTTGAATTCACGCTGTGCGTCTCCCGCTGCCACAGCACCGCCCTTGCCCCACCCCACGCGCGGGGCCCCGCGCGCAGCGGGCCATGCCCCTGACCGTGCCGCCATTGCCTCTGCCGCTGCCTCGGCCACTGCCCCGCCCCTCCGGGGCGCTGGATGCGAGCTGCAGCTGCCATCTGTCTGTGACGCCAGGCGTCACTTCTGGCCATTACTATGGGCCTCCAAGCCCCATCCCCTTACACGGTCGCAGCGAAACTATGTCATTTCCCTGTGCCTCTTAGTGTGTCATAGTAAGCATCTGGGTGGAAACTCAGCTGCCCCGCTTACTGTCCCAGCGTTCGGTCCGCCCACTCTACATGTTCCTTGCCAGCCTGCCCCTCCACGGCACCGGGCACACAGGCTGCCACTGCCGCCCCATGGCACCGGACACCCGCCCGGCCGCTATAGTTCCATGGCGCCAGGTGCCACCTCTGATCACCACTGCAGGCCTCCAAGCCCCACCCCCTTACGCGGTCACAGCTCTCTGTGCCCTTTTAGCGCATCAGGGATGGCGTCTGGGTGGGACCTCAGCCTGCTCTGCCTACTGTGTCCCTGCGTTTGCCCCGCCCATGTCAGCCCCCCGCCCCCCGCTGTGTGGTGGTGCTCATCCCGCCCCAGGCACAACTCTGCTCTCTTCCTACAGGTGCTATCTATCTCAATGTTTCAAGCTGCCTTAAACAATGGGCATTTCCAAAGTCTCGCGGCCCCGCCCAAACTTTTTTTTACAATTCAGTTCCACTCAAGAGAGGCTATTTTTTTCTTACAATTTTTCTACCATTTATTCACTATTACTGGCCACCTGATAATTTTTCCAGCCTGCCTGCCTTATAATCTTAAATGCCAATATTAAGCTCCTACATACTTAATTCTACAGATAACTTTTACTATAGTCCAGATCTCAAACAAGGCAAAACTTGACCTTCAAGCTCCACAGAGACCTTGCTATGGTTGTTCATATTTTAAATAACACTTACAATTATGAGACAGGTAAACCTACACAAGGTGGAGCTGCCTGGCCCCTCCATGGACCACCTCAAATGCAGCAGAAGACATTGGGCAACAAAATGCCTTTGAGACCTTACTCCAGGGCTGCTGGACTGTCCTAGGCACCAGAGAGTGGGTAAGTCATCCTAAGTTCTAGCCCTCACAGGAAATGTCGACACTGCCAGATTTGTCACCAACAGAAAATCGCTGCTGAAGACTGAGAAGACTCAGGGCCAGCAGCCCCCTTTGTGGGTGTTCGTCTCAGAGTCCAAGTTCCACTAAAACTCTCAAGGTAAGACATTCTGTATATTCGTGGACATAAGAGACCACATATACAGAGTTCTTAACTGAGTTTTTAGGCTAATAAATCCTCAATGTCTCATGGAGTATTAAAGGTCAACCTATGCCAGTTACAAACAGGGCCTATCGTTATACAGGTCCCAGTCCTAAATCCTAAAATGCTTTTATTCCCTTTTAAACTGCCATCCTGGTTTCACATCACTCAGGCCCTAGATCTAACCATCCTTTTGATACTCATCTCTGCCTTATGACTCACAGGTTGTCATGTTTTGTTGTCCAGTTTGATTCTTAATTTCTTACATTCTATTAATGATCATTTCTATAGCAGGACTCTCTAACAGGATTGCCTACAGACTCCAGCATCATATATACCAGAGACAAACCTTACCTACCTACCTTTTAACTTTTATGCTTTCATATGGGGGAGTAAACACCTCTCATAACTTCACTCCTCCTAATCCCACGTTTAATTTTTCAGAATTCTGCCTTGCCACCTCAACGTCATCCTGATAGAATAACCGGTCTAAATCAAAGACACCTTTCTCTCTACCTCATTTGGGTCCATAAATATGACAGTGCCATGTCTCCTCATAACATCTTGTCTCTTTGTTTTTTCCAGTCTAACATACGTGCATTCACCAGTGAAGTTGTCCTGGCTAAAACACCTAACATCAGCGTCTACCTGGGCATCAGCCTTCATCCCGTCGACTCCCCTAGACCCCAATACAGCGCCCTCAGCCAGCAGGAAGTAGTTACAGAGAGAAATCTTCGCCCCTTTTCCTAATAATCATAAGACGGGATATGAAAGAGTTGCTGGCCCAGACTGGACACTTTAACCAGGAAAAGCCTCAGCCATGTTAGGGGGCTCCTGCCTCCCCCACCCCTATAGATTTACCTGTAACCCTATACCCCCATCCCTAAGAACCTGTCCCTGGCGCCAAACGTGTGCCAATGAAATACCTGTGCATCCTTAATGCCCCTTGGGGTCCACCCCAGACAGAGGCTACTTATGGGCCTCACTCCAAGTGTTCGACAGAAGAAGAAGAAGAAGAAGAAGAAGAAGAAGAAGAAGAAGAAGAAGAAGAAGAAAAAGAAGAGAGAGTGTGTTCCAGAGAGAGACTGCCGGCCCCGGGGTGGAGATGCTGCGCCCCGGGGCTGGGGGTTCTTTCCCCGCATTCCTGAAATAAAGGTTACTTATATTTTATATTTCTAATCTTTGCAGCCACCGCCGCCCACTCCTTTCACCGCCGTCCACTCCACTCCTTCCACGGATCTCTTTCTCTTCCACTCCTTCTCCACTCCACTCCACTCCTCTTCTCTTTCCCCTTCCTCCCCTTTCTCAGACACTGGGTTTATGGGCTTTTAGGTTTTTCATGATTCCATTGTGAGGTACTTTGAGCACAGACTTCAGGTAGGGCACAGCTCTTTGAGTACGGACTACATAGGGGCACAGTGCTTTGCTAACTGTCTCCTGTTCCCACTATTCACTGCCAGTTTATGTTGCAATGTCAGTTAAAATGTCACAATGAAATGTTACAATGAAAATATATACAAAAGAAAGTTTTGTTTTATATATATATATATATATATATATATACACACACACATACATACACACACATATATATAATTTATATACAGCCCAGACAAGCCAAACGTTTGGAGATTCATGGTTTAGCACCTCAGATATGTATTAGATCAGTGGTCCCTAACATTTTTGGCACCAGGTACCAGTTTTGTGGAAGACAGTTTTTCCGTGGACTAGGGCAGGAGTGGTCAAGAATATGTACTTTATTATATTATTATGTTATGTGCTTTCTTATGTACTTTATTTATATTATTATGTTATAATATATAATGAAATAATTATACAATTCATGAATAATTCAGAATTAGTGAGAACACTGAGCTCGTTTGTGTGTATTTAGGCTGTTCTACCTGCGGGTGATAGAAGACAGTGGCACCCAAAGTATGTGCTTTATGTCCAGTATATTGTGTAATCTCATTTTCACTACGTCTCAAGGACAACATGTTGGAAAGGAAAGCAGGGTTTTCAGTATTTTTGTGGTGTCTCAAGATATTCTGCCTTGGGGCTGGGGATTTAGCTCAGCGGCATAAGCGCCTGCCTTGCAAGCAGGCAGTCGTGAGTTCGATCCCTGGTACCGATAAAAATGAAAAAAGACAAAAAAAAAAAGATATTCTGCCTTGACTCCAATTCAGAAAATATGAAGATTTGAAGTTGTCTCACACACACTTTTAAGGCAGTCATCTTTTGTGATCTCAAATAGTCTATTCTTTTCTAGTATGAAGTTTGATTAATTTGCTTACTCGCATATGGATCACAGATGCATTCCTTCACTGTTCATGGATCTTTTATTAGGAAGTGTCTTGGTTACTTGTCTCTCATTCCTGGGACAAAATACCCAACATTCAAAATGAAGTAAGGAAAGATTTGTTTCGCTTATAGTTTTTGGAGGTTTTAGTCTGTATGCAGCTGATTACACAGCAGGGTGACATGGCTGAGGGGCAACTGTGCATGGCAGTCACAAGTGGCAACAGTAAAAAGGGGAAAAAAGGGAAAAGTCCACCTTCTTTGCTCCCTTATATTGTATGCCAGCTACATGCCCCTGTGTGTGTGCAGCACTCACACTGCCAATCCCAGCATGAGACAGTAAACCAACCACAAATGCTAGATTCAGCTGCCACCATGACTGCATGAGGCTTTGGATGGACATCCAAACACAAACCATAACAGGAAGCAATGCTTAAACTCTTTCAAAACTGAGGTAGATATCATGCACTAGCTGGGAGAAAAAAGGTCTTTGATCATTCTCCTTCAAAATCTGTAAAACTCCAATTCACTTGTTGCCCTCATAATTTTAGTTTGGCTTTGAATGCATTTACTTAACTACCAACTTGACCATAGTTGCTATTTTTAACTGAAATGAGAGATTGAGTTTCATGAGCAGGTTGAGTATGTTGCATATTTAAGCAAGTTTTGTGACACATTCTGTGTCACCAAAATGTGTTTCCAATAGTGACTATTTTGTAAAAGAAATACTTAGTAGTTCTTGTAACTCTAAACTCTAGCCAATGATCAATCACTGGAAAGCCGTCTCACTTCTGTGTATTAGGGGAGATGTGTATGTGCTGTGTCCATCTCCTCATAGGGCTTTGTGAACAGACATGAGTTAAAGGAAAGTACTTTGATGTTATTTTCAATTGCATCCCATATAAATTGTTAAATTCTGCTGACATTTTTGGATTAGATAACTTTCTTACTGCTGGGGAAAACTATTTGACACTGCAACATAAAGGAGAAGAGATTTACTTTTGGCTTTCAGTTTCAGAGGTTTCAGTCCATGGTTAACTCACTCTGAGGCAGAAACATCATGGCAGAAAGACATGGTGGAGAAAATTTCCTCAACTCATGACATTCAGAAAGCAGAGATCAGGGAAAGAGCCAGAGGCGGAGGACCTGGGGTCAGATGCCATGCCCCTATGACACACTCCCTTGAACTAGGCCTTCACCTTTTATTGCCTCATCAATAGGTTAGACAATTGGGTTAGAAGTTGGTGCCCTCACAGTCCAATCACATCTTCAGGATTCTCTTATTCAAATCAAATTAAAAATCAAGATTAACTGGCATATTCCTTAAACCTAAGAATGGAGGCCCTTATGGTCTACAGTGATCACCAGGCTTTGTGTACACTTTTTGTGCATCACAAAATAAAGAAATGGAACACAAAACTTGAGTGATTCCAAAACATGTAGTGGGATAAAAAAATGGAGGCAAAGTAAATGTAGCTTTTGACTAGCAATGCACTTTCAGCAACCACGATCAAGTATCATTAAATTAATTTTTTAATTCTAATTACATATTTATATTTATTTAATTTATATATTTTTATTTATAACTAGGAAGGGACATTGAATTTAAAGATTTTGTACCCAAATTTATATTTGTACTTACTTGGAAAACAGAAAGAAATCAAAGTAGGAATTTTGTTTATTTTTCTTGAAATAAACAAATGTTACTTGAGTATGAGAAGCCAACTATGACTACAGCATTTCTATTCTAGTATTTGAAACTGTAGGGAGGAAAAATATTTTCTTCAATTATTATAAATTATTAGTTGAAATTAACAAAAGACATTATCAAAAAAGTTTTAAAGAATGTATTATTTCATACGAATATAGGAGACATGCAGAGAATGAGTAATTCTCAAAGTGGTAGTTTTAAATTCTAGTTTATGCACCATCTTCAATAAAGAAAAATAATATTTTAAGGATGTGATGAGGGAAAGAAAAAGGACTTTGAATTTCTAAAGGTAGCAAATTGAGGAGGGGGAGGAAAATAAATGTGGATAAAGGGGAGTTAGTGAGGCTTGTTCATGTCGATCACTCTGGCGCCGTCTCCAGGGAGATGAGGTGTGTTGTCTGCAGTGGTTGGTCTTTGCCCACCCCGGAGTAGTGATGGAGGCAAGGAGAGAGCAGGACACCCTTTATCTCTGTAAATCTGTGCACTGGTAAAGAAAGGAAGGGCAGACAGTTTTTCTGCATTTTATTCTTCTTAACAACCCTTATGCAAAAGAGGTACATTTTGGAGTGATATATTCTAATTTTCACAATACTTCATAGTAATAAAACCTTGATTTTTGTCAAAAATAAGTGAGAACCAAATAACTCAATGAAAGTGAAAATTGTTTGTGAGCCATAAAACCACCACAGATGTTCAAGTGTTAATGCTGTGTGCTGGGAAGCTTTGAAGAACCCATGAACCTAAAAGTTGGTGATGGCCTAGATAGTAAGAGGGTCACTAGGGACAGAGCAGCTTTGTCAGTGCCCCTCAGGTCAAGCCAAGTAAAGCCACCCTGTTTTCATTCCAAGGGACCAGCATCACAACACATGCTCAAAGTTATTTCCTTTGGAGTCTCTCAAGTTTTTTTAAAGTAATTATGTTTATTGGTATATGTAAGGTATACATAATGATCACATTCATCATAGGAAATTTGTACCTGTACATGATATATCTAGTTCTTATTTTCTTCCCATTTTTCTACCCTTCCTTCAACTCCTTTCCTCTCCCTATTTACAAAAGCTTTTTCCATTTTTCTTCACTCATTTTTCCTTTCCCTTTCCCTCCTTTCCCCCTCCAACCTGCCTTGTTTCTCTCCCCATTTGAAATTTTTTTCCCTATTTCACAATATCTTTTATACACTTTGGTCCTTATTTACACTTACAGTTTCTCACACCAAAGAAACAATGCAGTATTTACACATGTGTATCCAATTTATTTCACTTAACAGTATGGTCTTAAGGTATGTGAATTTACCTACAAATGTCTCAACTTAATCCTTCTTTATGGTAGAGAAGTACTGTTGTGTAATTTCTTTATCCACTCATTTGTTGATGGTCATTTGGGCTGTTTCTACAATTTATGTATTATAAAGTGTGCCACTATAAACATGGGTATGCATAGATCACTATGGTATGATGCTTTTAATTCTTTTGGGAAGAGACCAAGAAGGGAAGAAGCTGGGTTAAATGGGACCTCTAGTCTGCATTTTTTGAGAAATGTCACATTGATTTCTATAGTGGTTGTGCCAGTGTACATACCCACCAACAGTGAAGAAGGGACCCCTCCCACAGCCTTACCAGCATTTGTTATTGATTGATTTATTGATTCTAGCCATTTTTTCTGGAGTGAGATGGAATCTCAGCATTGTTTTAATTTGCAACTCTCAGATAACCAATGATGTTGAACATTTCCTGATTTTATTTGCTGTTTTTACTTCTCTATTCATTTTTGGATTGAGTCTTTAAATTGGGAGAGTGATGATTTTTCAAGTCCTTTATATATTCTATATAGTAGTCATTTATCTAAGGAATACCTGAAAAACATTTTTTTGAACACTGTGCATTGTCTCTTCATTCTGGTGGTGATTTCTCTTGCTGTGCAAAAAGTTTTTAACAAGATGAGATTGCTGTTGATTCCTCATGATAGTTCTTGCACAATTGGAATTTTGTTCATAAAGTCTTTCCCACACGGGTGTCTTCAAGAGTTTTATCTACTCTATCTTCTAGCAAATTTAGTTTTTACATTTAATATTAAATTGATCCAATTCAATTTTAGGTTAGTACATGTTGAAAGATATGAGTCTAGTTTTAATTTGAGGCACGTGGAAAGCCAGTTTCTCCAGCACTATTTA